TCCCTTTCAGTCTTGCATGCATTTGTTCACATTTAACCCTGATATTATTCTTGATTTCTTCAAACCCTAAAACGGCTGGAGGTGAAAGTGAACATTTTGTGTGTTTCATGTGCGTATCACCATAGCAACACTACATGTAACAGGTTATCAGTGTTCGGTACTCTTGTTATGAAGTCGTTCATCAGATGGCCAGGAAGACAGACTGAACACTTTAGATCGTACGCATACATATACAGCCAGACTAGTACATGTTCTGCCGTAAAGTACCGTTGATCCGCCCCCTCGCGCCATGTTGCTTCCCAGCTGAGTTTTCACCAGGGGGCGGGAATTAGATCAAGGCTGTCAAGTGCAGTACGATGTACAACAACGTGGAGGATCAGACTCGATGTGCTGGATTGTGCACATTTTCTTGGCCTAGATTGGCAAGTATTGTGTACAGCCATGCATGCGTCGATTCAACATCGTATTTCGTTGGATACGCCGAAGTCGCTTCACAGGTAGAAAATCAACAGGGGGCGGGAATTAGAGAGGGGGCGGATCAACGGTACTTTACGGTATAATTATGCCTTTAGGGCCGATTCCCACTACGGTACCGTGAGTGCCGTGCCGACGATTTGGGTAGGTCACGTGTACCCCACGGTACGAGCTTGAAGCTGAGAGTGATTTACACCTGCGCACTGTCGTTCCGTGCATTCCGTCGGCAGGCCAGATCACCATTTTTACCAATTTCTGACTTTGGTCTGGAGGGGAAATAGCGGGGAGATGATTGGAGAAAGCTCAAAAATAAACCAATCGAAAAGCCAAGAAAACACTTCGTACCACAAATACAAAAGAAAGAAAAAACTTCCTTTCAGGAAGTAGTAAAATACCTACTACACCCTGTACTCGACCTCACGGAATACCACGGCATGCCATTTCCACCCCCCCCCCCCCCCAGAGACCCTCGGCACCGGAATGTCCACGGCGCGGTACGGCATGACCCACGGAATGAACTCGCGCCAAAACTGCCCCTCACGTGAGCAAATCACCATGGGTACTCACGGCACGGCACTCACGGTACCGTAGTGGGAATCGGCCCTAACACTTATAACTTGACCCAGAACACCATTGCCGTCACTTGATTCTCGGTTATTGGGGCTGTCGCCATTCTATCTCAGACCTACGAAACGTAGCCTTTCTTCTCAGACCCTCTTCCAAACCCATCACACATACAATTACATGTGCCGTGAAGTACCGCGAGAGCGCCCTGTCTCGCGAGAGAGCCCCACCTTGACTTTACAGCCAAGGGAAGGAAGATCGTACGACAGAGTGTAGCTACGTTTGTACAGTGTGGCAACCTCAGGGTACTAAGGTCCTGGTCATACTGCGGCAAAACGAAATAAACCTGTGACTATACTCCGAAATCTTCATAGAAACTTGACACCAGAGCGGCGAAATCGAGGGTCGACGCTCCAAAAAAAGTAAGAACGGACCACCCTTTTCCACTCCAAACAAGAGTTAGACGCTAGCATGCCAATGACGCTGATATTCAATGATCTTTTCATCTCGATACCGAAGAGCTAATTGACCATGGACAACAACAAAACTGATAAGAATGGTTGCAAGGATTGCACTGAAGGTGTTGGCGATTACCGAGGCAAAGGAATTGGACATTGTTCGTGGAGAGTACCACTTGACGCTCGAAATGAATTTTTGAATTTTCATTCTCCCCGCATGGGTAGTTCATGTTGCGAACTTGCACACTTCAAGGTTCACGTTGTCTAACCTATTGACAAGAAACCACCTCCACGGCACGACCACGAAAGGGCGAGATGGCGGGGCGCTCTCGCGATACTTTACGGTACGTGCAGTGAGCGCGTTCATTTGAATGTATCAACTGTACAACTGAACTCCTTGTTTGAAACCCATGCATGTACCCATGCATGTACATATTTATCAGAAAGTCGTAATACGAGAGAGCTTGGAAGCTCAGGGCCCTACGCTATGCTTTTTTGCCTTGATGACCTAGACAAAAAAAAAGCATAGGGATGTTATAAATTCTTTAAAAAAATCCTTTTTTTTAAAGACATAATCTGGGATTCGAACCCGCACTATCGCGCGCCCTGCATGCATTCCCCCATACACTTCGCATACATACCCATTCTTCCAAGTTGTTTCACATTGTGATCTTGCATTTGAAAGCCCTATTTGAATATGCATTGTGGCCAGCCGTCTTTGATGGCACGGTACGGTAGGGGAAAGGTACGGGACAGGTACGATCGAGGGTAATACGACACCGTCTCCCGTACCGTACCGTACCATCAAACACAGCTGGCCACATACAGCTGCCCGCAATATTCAAATAGGGCTTTCAAACGCAAGATAATAATGTGAAGCAACTTGGAAGAATGGGTATGAATGCGAAGTGTATGGGGGAATGCATGTAGGGCGATAGTGCGGGTTCGAATCCCAGGATATGCCTGAAAAAAAGGAGAATTGAAAATTTTATAACATCCTATGCTTTTTTGCCGTCAGATACGGATAGCGCCAGGCATGACACAAACAAACAAACACACAAATACCAAATTAAAGCTGTGTGGACCCTGGCTATGCAGAAGACGTTACTGAGGTAACGTCTTCTGCATAGCTATGGGAATAATTATAGTATTTACGTATCCATGGTAATCACAGTAGTGGCTTGTATAAAAGCCTGTCTCGTACAGAAGCTCGTTTGGAATAGAAGTCTATTTTTCAAGATACACTGTCGGCGCATATGCCTGCTCTTAGTGTGGACACACATAGAAATACCTAGTTGGAGTAGAAGCCTAATGTGAATACACCTGGCGGTAAGCCCAGCCTTGACATCGGCTCCTACAGGAATACGCCCGGCTTTGATACGCAGCATTACGGCATTTCGAGAGGTTAAGCTACACATTATTTTTGACGTGACGCGAAAGTTCAGCCCGCGTTATTTGGCTCATGCGTTGGAAAACAATGCGAGTGACCTGCAGCTCACGTCGAAATTTGGAGTTTTACGCCAAAGTTGACGTGAAATTACGCGTCACGTGACGTCGTCAAAAATAACGTGCAGATTAATTAACCTCACAACTAAATATTGCGACAGAGCTTTCGGCCATATTTCCAATTTATTGCATTCCCAACTCATCACAACCACGCGCTCTCAGCCGAACCATAAAGACACCAGCAAGGACACTTCCGTTGAATGATAATATGATTTTTTTTCCATGTCTCTAGACAGCTGTTTCGCTCCCTGCCAGAGCTCATCAGTAGAGGATGATAATAATGATAATGGAGTGTAACGGAATGATCATTCATATACAGCAGAAATGGCGGAAGTGCGCATTTTCCACATAGAACAATGGCATATGCAAGCTGCTAAATGGTAAATGTGAGACCAGCGAGAAGAAGTATTGTACTCGCTCATTGGTGGAGGAACACACCACACAGGCGAAGCAAATCTTATGCGGAAATGACCCTACAACTGATTGCAATAAAGCGAGAATAATGATGCCACTGGAAAGTACATGTATGTTCTATGTGGAAAACGTGCTCTTGCGACATTTCTGCTGTATAAGAATGATCGTTCCTTTACACTCCATTATCATCATTATCATCCTCTACTGATGAGCTCATGCAGGGAGCGAAACAGCTGCCTAGAGGAGTGGAAAAATATTATCTCTCAACGGAAGTGCCCTTGCTGGTGTCTTTATGGTTCAGCTTAACCTCTTTATTTTAGTGCCATAAGTTCCCGTAACCAAAACTTCCCTGTGGGAGTCAGGCCCCAAATAACCGAATAGCTTACTAGTATGTCGCTGCATCTGCGCCTTCAGGCTTGATCCTAGAGGGTGGTGGCGTTCCCACGGCGGTTGCGGAAAACTCGCCTTCCAGCCGAGTCTCACGCGAACCGTGAAATTCTATTTTTTTTATTAGTATGGATTCCTGACAGCACCCCACGGGTACACACCGGCATCTACTACAGTGGGTTTCAAAAATATAGACGCGTGATTTCAAAAAAAAACCGTTAGGCTAGCACCTATACCACATAAAATCTGTGATCACTTTCAAGTCTTTGTGCATGAAAATCTCGACTCGATTTGGGCGTTTGCTATCCGATCGCCAAACATTATTATAATTATGAGAATACATAGCAGACTCAGCGGAGAACGTTCAGGTTGGTTGTAACTCTGAGTTTCAACCAACCTGTCTCTGACCTGTCACTTAGCTCGGTCTCTGACATTGAGCACTCTCTGCAGCTCGGGGATCAACGGATTAGTAATAATTATTATGAGAATAGAAATGGGGGAAGGGCGTGAGCAATATTCCGAAAACAATTCTCAACATGCTACAGCCAAAGTTGAACTATTTCTAAAAATAGAAACACATGGGAACGAGTTATGCGGCAACTATCCACGACTGTAACAAGATGATAACTCGTTCTCATGTGTTTCTTCTCTTTTTTTACATTTATTACTGGCTCAGTATCCGAGTTCAAAACACCATGCGTCTATATCTTTGAAATGGCCAGTACGAGTACTCTCGCACGTGTACATGTCGCGGTCGGCCAGTCGCACATCTGACGGGAAAGCAGCTCACCGGATCAAGGTGTGAGTCGTCTTCACTCAGCAGGGCCACTGGGACGAGGGTTCGAGTCGAGCTGTACTCCCAGTGCCAAGAGCTAGAGGCGGGCTCAGCATCCCGGTATGGCAACTTCCCCATGTCTAACCTCTAACACGAAGTGAATACGGTAGTCATGATACCGGTCGAAGCCAAAGGTAAAATGCCAAGAAGATTGTGATAGTATGGAGGCCAGATTAGCTTCCAGCTTCTGTCTGACATTTTCATCATAGGTGTCTGCCAGCCATGCATGCGCGATATGCCAAGGCAACATAATGCCTGGATTCCATCATAAAATCTTGGTGCAGATTGGCAACAGGAAATTGACGCTGTGCGTAGACGTCTACGTACAGCGTGTTGTTGAGTTGTGCAAAAAGAAACCTGCT